AACAATAAAATCTAAAATAAAAAAAAGACCACCTTCCGGAACTGTAAAGGAGAGGTTAGTGCAAGGCACGCTCTCTGGCTGTGTTTTTGCAAGGCTGACACAGCATCTCAGCATACAGAGGTGGTTTCGGTACACTGGTGATAAAACATCTTGCAACATTGGTTGCAAACATCCTGCAGCTGATGCACCGAACATCCTCTGCCCAAGGCCATATCCTCCCCTTCCTTGCCCCTGCATAAGCAAGGCTAATGTAAAACTGGCTGCTAGACTGGGTCACTGCCCGCCTATCAGGAGACAGTTGTCCATCTAGCCCCCGCTTTCAAGTACTTCTTTGTCTATCTTTTCTTAATCCTCCGTTGTCCCCACTCCAGCCTGTTCGACTAGCCGCGCTGGACGCAGCATATAATAATTTAGGCAATTGATTTTTTAGGTATTTCTTTTCTAATATATTCACTCATGGTTGTTAATTTTGCATTTAATAAGTTTGATGTGTAACATGTACATTATCATTCCATTTAAAACGTCTCTCACTTCTGTTTGGGTTCTCAGTTCACACATTGACTATTCAGAAATGTGTTGCTTTGTTTCCAAAACATAGGCACATAGATATCTTTGACTGCAGAATCAGCTGACTCCCAGAGGCTCCCAGGTGCTCCTGGTGGTCCACAACAGGCCTCCAGGCTGCCCCGGGTCGCTAGCTGAGTGTCTATGGGGGCAGCTCCTGTGCTTTCCAGGGTCCCTGCTGGCCCCCTCCCTGCAGTGTGGGGTCTGAGTGTTTCTTGGCTAGTGGATGGCCAGAGCAGCGTACACGCGTGGCTCATCTGAGGACTCCTCTGATGGAGACGAAGGGGGTGCACTTGTCTCCCATCTGAGGGGCAAGAGGCTCAGCTGGGCGTAGGTCACATCCTGGGAGGTGTCAGATGCTGCAGTCTGGAGCAGGGGGAGAGTGACAGGGAAGGTACGTGGCTGGGGTTGGGGGAAGCCTGGGGCCTGAAGAGGATGGGACCCACCTGACTGTCCATCGGCCTGTCCTCTTCTGCGCGTCTGTCCTTCATGTCCAGCAACACCCCTGACAGGGGGAAAGGAGGGGTGGCAACTCTCTGACTGAGTCTTGATCTTGAGAGGTTCACCTGGCTGTACATCACTTCCTGGGGGTTTTTCTTGTGCCTGATCTGCTGGAGAGACAGTGAGACAGAAACAGTATCTCCTTGAGTCATTCCACTGCTGAAATCCTCCAATTTCCACACATTGCCAGAGTGATGCTTTACAACTTTACATCAGATTAGGTTATTCTCCTGATGGAATCCTCAGGGACTTCCTTAGGCTTGGGGCACCTGGATGCTTCCATAGTTCTGACTGTTATCTAAATACACTATCTCTGGCTCATTTGACTCCAGCCACATGGTGCACCTTTGAGACAGCATGTCCTGCCTCAGTCCCTTTGCACCTGCTGTTTCCTCTGTTCTCCACCCCTCACACACTCTGTCTCCTCCTCTTGCTTTATTTTCCTTAACAGCACTTCGCTCTCTAGGACTCTATCCACTAGTTTGCATATTGCCTCCCTCACCCACCAGGTGAGCTTGAGGAGTGTGGAGATGGGCTTGCTCACTGCTGCACGTGGCACCGAAATGGAGCCGATAAATAGTGAGCTCCCCATCGCACATGCTGGGTGAACGAATGAAGGGGCGCCGAGGGACCTGCGGGTGATTCACTGATTCATGCCTTCTCTTGGCACCTGGGGCTGCACTTCAACAACCAGAGATCAGACAGAAGATGAGGAGCCAGCAAAGGAGGCCATAGGAGGGACCTTGAGGTTACAAGGAAGCCAGGAGGGGTGAATTTACAGTATGGTGACAGGGGCTCAGAAGGAGAGGTCAGTGTGGGACACTGCAGAGAACTGGGTGAATGAGGGCCGGGAAGTGTCCATTGCATTAAACTGGGCAACAGGAAGGTCCTTGGTGGCCTGGACAAGAGCAGGGATCTCACCTGGGGGTCCAGCTCCATGCTTTGCTCAGACTGTGGGTCCTTCGTGGCAGCATCTGTTTGGACAGAACAGGGGCTGTGTCTCTTGGCAGAGTTCCCTGAGATCTTAGGGCTGCAGCTGCTGCCCTGTTCCCAGATGAACCACCAACCCAGGGGTGAGGAGAGGTGCCAGGTCACGCAGTGTGGATTTCAGGCCTTCTCACCCTGACCCAACACTCTCCCAGCCTGTCCCCTTCCTCATCATCTCCTGAAATCCATGTGCCCCGCNCAGAAAGTATCTAGTAGCAAGCAGCTCTCAAGGCTGCAGCAAGTGGCAGGCAGCTCTCAGCAGCTCTCATGGCTCCCAACAGTCTGGTTGACAGTCTATAGGTCTCAGAATCATGTGAACAGTGTCCCACCTCGGGGTGTCTATGTGTCTCTCCACATTTAAGTATAAGGACTTTACCTGCAGCCATTTCAGCCCCAAACTGTGAGGAATCTAACAATTCTTGGGGAAAATTCCAAGCAATGGGGGATGGGAGCCCATGGATATAGTCCCAAGCATCTCATTTATTAACCTAAATTGTCAGGAGGCAAAAGTCAAATAAAGAAAAAGAAAAGCATTTATGATGACCCAGCAACTTCTCTCCTGAGTATTTACCCAAAAAATCTGAAAACAGTTATGTGTAAAGATATATGTTCTCCTATGTTCATTGCAGCTTTATTTATGGTGGCCAAGATGTGGAAACAACCAAAGTGTCCTTCAAGAGATGACTGAATAAAGAAGATGTGGTACATATATACAATGGAATACTATTCTGCCATAATAAAAGATGAAATAATGCTGTTTGTGACAACATGGATATATATTGAGATTATTATGCTAAGCGAAATAAGTCAGACAGAAAAAGTCGAGAACCATATGATTTCACTGATACGTGGTATATAAAACTGAAAACAACAAAAGAACAAGACAAACAAGTGAAGAAACAAAAACTCATAGGCACAGGTAATAGTTTAGTGGTTACCAGAGCGGGGAGAAGGGGTGGTAGATGAGGGTAAAAAGGATCAAATATATGGTGATGGAAGGAGGACTGACCCTGGGTGGTGAACACACAATGTGATATAGAGATGATGTATTACAGAATTGTACACCTGAAACCTATGTAACTTTACTAACAAATTGTCACCCCAATAAACTTTAATTTAAAAAAAAGAAAAGTATTTATTTGGGGTTAAAAGGGATTACAAACCTGGGCACACTGATGAGGTAGTAACATAAACAGGTAGCAACCCAAACAGTGTCCCCCTAGGGAACAAAACCTACTATATATATAACATCCTCATTTCCCTTCTTTGAACTATCAACTGAGTGGGTCTGAGAAGAGATTTGTCTCAGAATAGAATAAATCCCATGCCTGATCTCCAACCATTGCTTAATTGCACTGGACCCATAGACAATGGGACCCCAAAGTCCAGATTGATCAATTTATTCCCAATTTGCAAGCTTGGGAATAAACTTATCCTTGAATTTGCTCTAACCCAGGCTTCATTTCAAATTCCTTCAATTGAAAGCTATTGGTCATTAGACAAGGAAATTCTCTGCCTTAAAACTAGTTTTCTGTATTTTCATGTTGCTCATTATGTGCCCAGTGACTTTTTGGGTTAACCAAATGGTCAAGCAGATGTTACACTAGAATTACCTAAAGGACAATTTGTAGAATAATTTGCTCTGGAGCTTTCCTGTGCTTTTCAAAGAAAAACACTCCAAGTTTTCATATTGTCTTTGGGGTGTGGGAGAGCAATAGAGTTCAGCTTTCCATAAAAATGCTGTCCACCAATTGGTCTGTTCTCCAAAGCATTTAGTGTCTCCAGGTTTCTGGAGGGCAAATGGCTCCCTCGATTTCCACTTTACTTTGCGCATATTTTAAGTTGTGGCTATTTCATTAGGTTTATTATCACCACACTCTCTCTTCATCCAGTCACCCAGGAAATACAGATGCCAAACCACCAGATGTCTGGAGTAGTAGTATATGGTAAACCAAATATCAGATACGTGTGTCTAAAGAGTCAAATATCCNACTGAGCTCAGAAAGGACAGGGTCAGAGGCTACTCACCTGAGACCAGGAGCTCTAGGGTGTCACTGGGGTGTGAGCACATCCGGGAGGGGTAACAGCCATAGCATCTGAACATCCACCTGTGGCTGCGGGTCACGGGGCCCACAGGGAACAGGGCCTGGAAATCCCCACTGGGCTGTCGCTGTGAGGCCAGGGCCCAAAAGGGCCCGTGTTCTCCTTCCTTAGTCAGAATGAAACTGCCAAATCCCTCCTGTGAGCCACACAGAAGGGTCACGTTCCCTCCTGAGGTCATCACAGGGCCCGGCAGGGCTGAGAGGTAGGGTTTGCTGTAGACGCCTAGGAGAGAAAGAGGTAGCATGTTAAATAGGGCTCACACCTCACTTACACTTTCCAGGGCTGGGCTATGAGGGGAGACACCCTGAAAACAGACCCCATTCCCTGAGGGCACAGGCTGAAGCTGGGACCCTGAGTGTCCTCTCACCTGTCACCACCAACTCCAGGGGGTCAGTGCGCTCTGACCAGCCAGCAGGGTTGAGATAGTAACAGTGATATCTCCCTGCAGTGTGCTGTGTCATGTGTGTGATGGAGAACTTGGCCTTGTCCCCGGGCTCCAGTGGGTTCTGTCTGTCCCAGGGTTCTGTGCTTCCCTCTTTATCCACACGGAACTCCTGGGCCTTCAGGGTCCCTCGACACCAGATGGTCACAGGGCTCCCCCAGGGGATCACAGAGCCTGGCTCAGCCCAGATGGTGGGTTTGGGGAGGATCCCTGGAAGGAATCAGAGGCTGGGTCATAAAACAATTCTCACCCCCAGTTCCCAGCTCTCAGCCACAAATCTCCCAGATGTCCCCCATCTGGCAGCCCAAAACTGCTGTTCTCCATTCCCAGTTGCACTTGTCCCCAGTGAGGAGTGGAACCTGGGACACCTGGGGACAGACTCACCTGCCTGCACTCGGGTCTTCAGGCCCACGGTTAGTCCTGGAAGAGAGTCCCTGTGAAGATTTGCCCCTGAGTCCTCAGCAGAGCCCTCCTCCCCATGAGCCTTCTGAGTCCTGGGTTCTCCTGACTGACCAGGGCTAGGCTGTTGGGTGGGGTCCCTTCCAGACCAGGGCTTCCCTCCCCTCTTCAATCTCACCGAGGCAGAGCAGGGCCATGAGGGTGGGGCTCATGGCGTCTCTTCCCTCTGATCCCACTGTGCAGATGGAGGAACCACAGAGCCCTCAGAACAGACAGACACACAGGGTGTGGTCACCCAGAGGCTCGTCCTCCCTTACAAAGGGCTGGCACATTAGCAGCCCCAAAGGAAGCAGAACTGCCCCTCCTCTGGAGCCTGGTTCTTGTTTCATCAGAGTTGAGGCAGGGGCAGGCAGCAGGTTTCTGCAGGTGTTTTAGACTACTTGACCTAAAATCTGCTGTCTGCCTGGCCTGGACTCTTTTTGACCCAAGAATCAACACATGTTTATTAAGAACATGATTTGCAATGTGCTTGCCACAGAAGTACATCACTGAACAAGACAGATTAAAACTCTGAGCTTGCAGAGTGCAGATTAGAAAAAAAAAAAGTTGCACCACCACCAACCACCAAAATAATAGATATCCTGTGTATCAATTCCTCGTTCCTACCATAACAAATCACCACAAGGTAATGGGTTAAAGCAACACAGGTTTGTTATCTTATAGTTCTGGAGGTCAGAAGTCCAAAATAAACACCCCTGAGTAAAATTGAGTTGTCATCAGGCTGTATTCTTTCTGGAGGGTCTGGGGGTGAATCTATTTCCTTGTCTTTTAAGAGTCTATAAACTGTCTGTATCCCATGCCTCATCATCCCCTTCCATCTTCAAAGCCAGCAATCACATCATTCCACCCGCTACTGTCATTGTCACATCTCTTTGGCTCTGTCTCCCTCTTTCACTCATAACGATTTTTTGTTGTTGCAGCATTATACACTATGGCTAAGACATGGAAACAACCAAAGTGTCTTTCGACAGAAGATTGGATAAAGATGTGATACAGGGAGATCCAAGATAGCAGAGTAGATAAACACTGTACCTGCATCCTTCTGTGACTACATTAAAATTACAATTAAAGTTTAGTACAATCAACCTGGAGAACCATCTGAAGTCTAGCTGAACAGAAGTTTTATAACTAAAAACCTAAAGAAGAAGCCACACTGAGACTGGTAGGAGGGGTGGAGATGCAAAACAAGCTGGCCCCAAATCTCTGCATGGCAGATGAAAATCTAAAGGGATATCTTTGCTACAAAAGTTCCCCGTGGAGAAGCAAGGGACCCAAGACCTACACCAGGCTCCCCAGCCCAGAGTACTGGTGCTTGGAAGAGAAGTCCCCACAATATCTGGCTGTGAAAAACTGGGTATTCCAACCATCCAGGTGGGTCAGAAGGCTTTGAGAAACCCAAACATCCTCTTAAACAGGATTTGCACAGACTCACTCTCTCACAGGCACTCATCCTAAACTCCAGTGGAGGGATGATGACTCGAGGGTGGTGTCAGAGGCATATGGGGGCAGACTGAGGTGTGTGTCTACAGGGGGAGGACTGGAGGACAGTTGCCATTCTCCCTGTGTGGGGTCCTCTTTCTGTGTAGTCAGCAGGCAGGCTCTATCTTTCCTGTGTTGAGCCCTCCCCCAGGCCCAAATCTGAATCTGATTGGCCTGGTGAGTTCCACTGGGAGGCCACCCCACCCTGTTCCCCCAGTGCCAGAGACACTTCTTCAGCAAGCAGCCAGCCCACATTGCATTCTTTCTTGGAAACTAATGGAGTCAGGCAGGCTCCAAGTTGTCAGTGACTGGCCTCAGTGTGCTCTGAGACTTTTGCTGAGTTGTTCCAGGCTCAACCCTGGCATCAAACCAAAATTTACATTAACCTAGTAACCACAACGCTTTCCACTCTAGTTACCCCCTGAAACCCTGCCTCACCCAACTTGCATATTGCATGAAGCTTTATCAGTGGCTGAACCTTAAGGGAGCCAGTGGTGGCAGCAGGATTCAGGATATCCTGGCTTTTATTGGAGCTACCCCAGGCCTGGTACTGAGAGCAGATGTTTTTGGTTCACAGTGTGGCTTTTTCCACACACCTCCACAGGCAGCAAACTGTTGTGGATTGCTTTGTAGCTTCTATTAGGTAGTTCCCAGTCAGTCATAGGAAATGGGTGACCTGGGCCTGCACTGGAGCCCCTTTCAAGAAGGCCCAGAACCAACATACTTGGAAGTTGGCTTCAGACCACAGCAGAGCACCACCAAAAATTATCCTCACAAGTGGCACACCCAAAGAGCAATCTCAACAGGCACTAGAGCATGCTGGGCTGAATCCTGCTCCATGTGGTAAGCCCTGCACACAGCAGCCCATAAGCCAATCCTACCCCCTGACATGCCAATAGCTATCTAGGCTCAACTATAAAAGAAGAGTGCACGCAGCCCATACAAGGGACACTCCTGGAGCACCCAGAGCAGGTGATCAGGGAGACCATGCCAGGGTCTGACAGGACATCTACTACATAAGACCACCTGGACAAGGCTAGGAGACATAAATCTACCTAATACATTAAAACAAACACAAAGAGGCAGATAAAATGAGGAAACAAAGAAATGCATCCCAAATGAAAGAACGAAGAANGTCACGCAGTGTGGATTTCAGGCCTTCTCACCCTGACCCAACACTCTCCCAGCCTGTCCCCTTCCTCATCATCTCCTGAAATCCATGTGCCCCGCTCCCGGGTGCCCCTCTTCCTCTCACAGAGGGTCTCTTCTTGGGCATCAGCTGCTGGGCTGGAGCTGGCGGGGGTGGGGGAAGACGAGAGTGTCAGGGCAGAAATGGGGCCATGGGCAGTGGGAATCTGGGGTCCTTGTGGCAGGAATCACCTGGTCTACAGGCCTCTGTCCTTGGGCTCTAGGTCTGTGGCCCCTGCACGAGGTTAGAAATGAGCCTCTCTCTGGGCTGATCAAGAGGGACAGTCTCAGCCCTGAGAAGGTTAGGACCACCCACCCTCACCGTGTGACTGCAGAGGTAAAAAGGAAACCTTAACTCACACTCATGCGTATGTTACAATATTTCATAAGAAACATTGAAAATGATGAAAGATTACCTTAAATTTGTGCATGTGTGCTGACATTAAGTGTATCCTTTCTATATTTTTTGATATGAGATTCTGGAAGTCTTTTTCTCAGCTGACCTTCTCCATCTACTTGGTTTTTCTGTGGCAGGTGTGCTAAGCCCACACTGCCTATCCACAGGGGAGCCCACCTCCTTGTGTGACCCAGGTCACCCCATTCACTACTCACCTGACGTCCTGTGTTTGCCCTGATGCTGGTGACGAAGGAGGAGGAAGAGGAAGAGAGAGATCAGCAGGATGAAGGCCACTGAGACCCCAATCAGGACGTTCAGGTACCTTTTGAGACCTTGGGCATGAGTGATGTCACAGATGAGCCAGTGATGTCACTTAACCAAGTGCCTACTGTGTGCCAGGCATGTCCTGGGGTCTGTCATTCATGTCCTCTAATCCTCACAACAGTCATGCACCAGGGGATTGTTGACCACACCACACCCATTTCACAGAGGAGAAAACTGAGGCACAGAAATGTTAATCACATGCTCTAGGTGATTAACCCAGCCTGGAAGTGGCAGGGCTGGGACTGGAACCCAGGAATGTGGGTTCCCTGTGTTCTTCTCATGCTGTGGGGATGGGGGAAGGGCAGGGGCGTGGGGTGGATTCCTGTCTTTCCCAAGATCCATCTCCACCCTGCAGGGCCCTGACACCCGAG